AACACAGCAAAGATCCAACGCTGTGGACAGACAGCAGCCGGCCAGACAATGTGAGTGACAGCAGCTCAAATCAAATCAAGATGTTGTGTTTTTAATCCTCATTGTGTTCTTCATCAAAAGCGGACAGATGGAGTCTGAGCTCTCTCTTACCCAGAAACAGGAAGAAGAGACAGGACACAGGTGAGCGCAAGAATACACACTCTAAATGAGGACAAATGATAGACTTCTGTTGCTTTTATGTACAGCTAACTAACTTTTGGGGACAAATGTGTGCCTGAAGTATACTCGCATAAACCTTCATACAATGAAACCAAGCTTAGCTTGTTCCGAAATCTTTACTAGTCATTCTGGTTTGTCTTGCGTCCAGATAAACGCCTGTATTTCCTGCTCATGTGAACTGTGGTCTAAGCATATCTGTCAAGTATCTCAAAATGTCCTCTTATTTTTGTCTGCATTTGTTGTGTTTTCAAGTATGTGTCCAGCAACACAGAGCTAAATGTGTCCACTGGATTTAGAAACCTGTTCAATTAAAAATGTTATGAGTTTAAACTTCAGATATAAGGTTTTCTGAGCGCACACATCTGAAGCACACGCACAGAAAGCGGCTGTCACAGCATGCGAGTACTAAACTAAGTTCTCATTCACACACAAGATTACGTTAAAAACACACAAGTTACAAAATCAGTCGGTTATGTCTGTGAAGGTAGTAGGGAAATAAATTGCATGTTTATTTTAGATCTGTGTGGCAGCAGCAATATATAGTAAATAACTCAATAAATCACTGCTCTCTTGTCTCCTCTGAGGCTGGGACTCTAAATAGTGTTCTGTGCTCATCTGTGCAGCTAAGGACAGAACAGTTAGCAAGTTTTGCTCAAACTTTCGCCATGGCGTTAAAACTGGTACACCGCTTGTCACTTGCAAAATCAAAATGACGGCACTGTGGGTGTAAACTTACAGATTAAGGGGCGGTACTATTATAATGAGATCCCTTTGCCACGTCACCAAGGGAGCGAAATCCGACGCGCTTGTTTTCTCAGACTATTGCAGAAAAAGGCTTACCAAAACAAAGTTACTGGGTTAATCTTTTTCACGTTTCCTTGGTTGGTAGATGCACCGGGGAGCTGATTATAGCACTTAGGCTAAAACCTGGAAAAGTCCGATTTTCATGATATGTCGCCTTTAAATTAAATGAAAATTTAAAATATTCTGTTGAATATAATGCTTGTGATTCCAAATGCAACAGTGATCAGGCCATCGCAATATTTGCAAACTAAAGTCTGACTGGTGCTCTTTCGCTGTAATTGATCTCTTTGCTGATGATGCTTCATTGCTCCATTTCAAATGTAAAAGTTCACGCACGCACACTCACACAAACAAACTCAAAGAAAGAAAATATGTCAAGGCTTGTCTCCAGTGGTCTGGTTTGCAGTAGTAAATGTACGCTAGTAACAGCAGAGTTGCACAACATTCCCACCGCATCTATTTTTCATCAGACCACAACTTATACATATCTCAGACTGCTCGGCAAACATCAATATATTATCCACATAAACACAGTAAAAGGAAAAAGAAATTCATTATGAAGAATCCTGTGATTCAGTACCAGCAGAATATGAGGTTAGAGAAAATCAATACTTTGCCAGTGTACTTCTGTATTGACTTGCAAGTTTTAAGAGTCCCTTAGCCATTTCATTTAGACCATGTCAAATGGCACTGACGATAAACACTCAATCATAGCAGGGAAATTCATTCCCATCAAACAACAGCACAGCACACATGCACTGAAGATCAAGAAACTCCATAACAGAAGAGTGAGAGGTGCTTTCAGTTTCTGAGTCAAAATTGTGAAATACAATGCCTGCACACAACTGAAGATACAGAGCCAAGATCTCTTAAATTAAATTGCTACTGAATGTAATTTTGCAACATCAGCATGTCCATTCAACATTCAAATAGAAGTTTTGAAGATATCGTGAGCTGTTTCTTCCATAATGACTGTGCAGCTTGGGAATGCAGAAATAAGACTGGATCCAAGTGCAGTATAAACGTATTAATAAGGATAAACCAAAAAACAAAACAGGCCAACCAAAAATGAACCACTAGGACAGACAAGACCTCACAATGCAAGAAGAAAGGCTATCAAGGAATTAATTAACACCAGGGCTGCATCTGAAAGCTGAAAGTGCTAGATACAGAGGATGCTTTCCAAGGTAGGAAGGCCTCAAGGCATGTCCAGATCCAGTGTTAGCTTCACTTCCTGTCTCCTGGGATGCCTTTGTAAGGTCCGCCCACTGGTCCAACGACGGTAGCCAATGGCACGGCAGAAGGATTCTTGCGCGTTGCTGTCTTTGCTTTTATACAGAGCAATAATATTAAAATTAATACATTTTCTTATATGTTTAACCTCTTTAATTCATCTGACTCCAAAAATGAAAAAGATTTGAAAAGATGCTGGTTATTAAATGTAGATGAATGTTTGATAATTCTATTTAACTCTGACTTTATATTTACTCGTTCATTAGGAATCCATGTCACTCAGGATGTATCATGGCGGCTGGTGTACATGTGTCTCATGATCACAAGCTCTCCAGTCTGATCATTAGTCAGAGGTTATGACTAACTATTCAATAGACCGCCTCATGCTTGTCAGTCTTTGAATAGTGGTTCTATTTAGCCCCCTACAGTTACCTATGTTACAACTTAGTTAAAGCTCAAACAAAATCATAGGTTATGGCTAGCACTATGAAATATGCTAATACGTCAATAGTGTTTTATCTAGCCCCCTATAGTTAGTCTAACTATATAACAACTTGAAAAAAGCTGAGACAATAACCAGAGGTTATGGCTAGTACTATGAAATATGCCCAAACCATGCTAGTACTCCATCCCACATGGAGCAGCATTTACTACACAGAGCCATTGTTCACTGACAAGCT